TATTTTTGCTAGAGAGAGAATTCTAGGTGGAGAATTGCTTTTTTTTTCTATCACAACTTAAAGTGTTGCTCCATTATATTCTGGTTTGTTTAGTTGATGACAAGAAGTCTGCTATACTTTTATCTTTGCCCCTATGTACAAAGCATGCTTTTGGCTACTTTTACAATTTCCTGATTATCTCTGGCTTTTAGCAATTTGATTACAATGTGCCTGGATGTAATTTTCTTTATGCTTTTTTGACTGGTTTTGTTGATAATATTGGATCTATAGGTTCATATTTATCATCAAATTTAGAAAATATTTGGCAGTTATTTCTGGAAATATTTTTCTGTCCTACCCTTTTCTCCTCTCCTTCTGTAACTACAATTACATGCAATAGGCCACTTAATTATATACCACTGATCACACACAATTCTGTGTTATTTTTTTGAAGTGTTTTTTCTTCTGTGCCTAATTTTGAATTATTTTTATGTTATTTCTTTAAGTTCACTGATATTTACTTCTGTAGCATCTTATCCACTGTCAGTTCCACTCAGTGTATTTTTCATTTCCGTTGTGTTTTTCATCTCTAAAAGTTTCACTTGGCCCTTTATTTTTTATATGTTCTATTTCTCTCCTCCCATTCATAAGTTTCTATACTTCCTTGGATATACAGAATATTTTTATAATAATTATTTTAATGTCTTTGTCTGCTAATTCCATCATCTTTGTAATGTCAGAGTCTATTTCTACAAATTGATTTTTCCCTCAGTTATTCATCTTATTTCCTTGCTTCTTTCAACGCCTTATAATTATATGTGTGTTGCATGTTGCTCTCATACACAGTTAAGTAACTCAAAGTCAGTTCAATATTTTTGAGGCTTGCTTTTAAATTTTGTTAGGGCAGGTCCAGTACGACCATCAGTCTAGAGATGTTTTGGCTCTACTACTGAGGAGGGCTCTTCTGAGGATTCTACCCCATGCCTTATTAATTAGGAGATCCACTCTAGCTGGTGGGAATATAAATTATTCCCACCCTTCTGTGAGCTCTAGCAATTGTTTAATCTACTGCTTTCTACTGAGTTTTCCCCTGCCATGGTGAGTTTCCATTCATGCATGTGCTGATCAGTACTCAACCCAAGCTTCAAGGAGACAACTCTACAGATCGCTAGAGATTGCTCTCTGGGCAAGTCCATTCCATCCTCTGTGCTACTCTGCCATGCCAATTCAAGTTCCCTTGTCCTTCCCAAATTGTGATACCTGTCTGCTCAAATGAACAAGATTACCGGGCCACATTTTGCTCCCCTAACCGTCACCTCACACCGTGGCTAAGAAACTGCCTCCAGGATCAAGCTGGCACAATCCTAGGGCTCATCTCTTTTGTTTTCTTCTTCTCAGAGCTCACACTCCTGTGCTACATGCTGTCTAATGTCTATAAACCATTGTTTCATGCATTTTGTTTTGATTTTTCAGTTGTTTCAAGTGAGAGCATCAATCTGATCCCAGTTACTCTTATCAACATGCTGTTGATAAGAGGCTATTGGTGGAAGTCAGTATCTATATAAAGGATAGATTTCCCACATTTCCCACACTGATGTATGCTATTATTATCCCATTTAACCTCACTGTTACCCCTTCTGAACCACCATATGTTAGATCTCCTGGAAGGGGCTCAACACTGATACAGTGTTCAGGATACTGCTAGGGCTTTACCAGCCTCAAGCATACACTCTTCAGGCAGCAGAAGAATAGAAACTCAGCTGGCCTTAATACAATGGTCCCTTAATTTCTTATCACAGAACAACATTTATTTGGCCAAATGACCTAAGCCTAATCAGTTGGGGATGCCAAACAGAGCCCAGTACTAGAAGGAACCTAAATTCTAGTTCCATTCTGCTGCTTAGTGACAATGTTCGTTTGGGCATGTCACTGCGTTTTCAGTTTTCTCATCTGGATGACTTTGAAGTCTCCTTCTAATTTTAAGAGTTTATGCTCCTAGAACTTGATCATAGTCTCTTTCCATCAGCTTTTCTACCTGGGTAAGTTACGCACGCATTCTTCTCTGTTCCCCGATTCTGAACATTGCCACCCACCTGTTCTCATTATGGCTGCAGAGGGTCTTCTGGGTTGAGGGGGCCCCCAATGGGACTTTCTTTTGCCATGTTCTAATATGACCTCAGTGCTGGGCCATTATCTTCCTAGGCTCACCTCTTTATTTCTTCAAAAGGACATATATGTATCATCACATTTGCCAGATTCTTCTTTCCCATTAGCCATCATATATAAATGCATGTTCCAAATCCCTGGTAACTCCAACCCCGACAACTGCAGTCTTCCCTCCCCTCCCGAAATGTCACAGGCATCATTTCTTCCCCACTCTATCTGTTCCTACCTTGACAACTACCTGCTGGATGCTATGATAGTCACAGAACAACAGCTCTGGGCCTGGCATCAGGAGAAGAGGGATAAAGTAGGGTCCAACAAGGGCTGATAAAATTGCTGTAAAATAACAACCCCTATATCAAATGTGTCCATGGTCCAGTAATCAAGCCCAGAGAACTCATTCCATTTCCAGTGGAAATTTAGTGAAAAAACCCTTAGGATACAGATATTCATCTCTGATTCTGATCACTCCATCCCTGGGTAACCTTCCTTCCCTAGACTTTGTTTCTTTCCTATCTAAAACAGGGTGCACCATTGCTGGGCCCTCCATGAACTCACCATTGTTGATAGGACCAATAAGATCACAATGGGGAGGACAGAGGTTGCCGGATGCAAGGAGGCAACAACAGGGCTGAGATGATTAGCTTCTCTGTACTGATGAGCTGCAAATGCACAGGAGCTTTCTTTTCAAGCTTTCAGGCTGTTAAAAGATACTGTGATTTCCCAGTTCACCCCTAGAGTTTCTTTGTGTTGTCCTGAAGAAAAAGAGAGGGAAGGTGGTGGGGGGGCAGGTTTACTCCACAGTTGCTATTTTCGTATCCTGAAGAGTCAGCCTTGTTGATTACAGAGAGATTGTTATCTCTTTCAGGGCTCAGTGAAGGTCACCTTCAAATCTTTTTTGCTTAACCAGAGGCTCCCTTTTCCCTTGTGCTCAGTCGGTGCAAAACCTGGGACAGTGGAGTCAAGAGGGGGTGGAAGGGGTGCTGTGCAGCAGATGCCCTGAGAGCTAAGAGAAGAACTTGGTTCTCTTGGTAGGAGAGAGGGAAGAAAAGGAACAGGTGAGAGGGCTGTTTAATGCCACTCCCCACAGCACAATATAATAGATATCTGGGAGTAATCTAACTGAGAAGTCATTTTTAATAATGCAGATAAGGACATAATTAATGCCCTTATCTGCATTGGATCTCTCCCAGGAAGACACCAGGATAACTGGGAGGGAAAGGCTATAGATCTGGAGTCATAGCTCTTCTATGGGTGCCTTTGATTAGGACACAGTCACTGCCTAGGGGGCCAGGGCTAAGGAGGGGAAGGGAGCCATCAGAAGGATTCTCAAAGATGTGACATTGGTTGTAGGAGTTACATCTATTAAAGGAGTTAATAGATGTAATCCACTTAGCATAGAGTCTAGCACATCCTCAACACTGCAGGAGCAGAAGAGAAAGGGCTGTTCAAACACTGATTCAGCCCCTTATAGCTGTAGCAGGAGGGGCAGGGGGTGTATCACACAAGGGATACACAGAGATGGCCCCACAGAGGAAAGGCTTCCTGAGACAAGAGTCATCATCAGCCACCCTAGAATCCAGACCCTCATTCCAACACTTTTGTGAAATAAGAGGCCAGAGTGATGCTATCTCCAAGGGCAATCTAAGCCAGGCTGCTCCTTATAATCTGGTCTCATCCCTGCCCTTTACCCCCTCTCCTCATGTCTCTCTGTTCTTCCTTCCCCAGGTTCCCTGGGTGTCCCACTTCTGCACCAAGAAATAATCCCACAGAGCCAGGCTCTCCTGAAAAGGCTTTTACAGACTGCTGCTGGGCTCCCAGCAAGTGCTGCATCTCTGTGAGTCACTGAGCATGCAGGGAGCCCCCAAAGAGACAGCTTTGAAATGGGATCATTTTCTTCCTGGAAGCAAAAGGGTGTTTCCTCAAGACCCTATTTCTACATTAAAGTATGAGAAAGTCCATCTTTGAAGCTCCCAGTGGGGCCAGAGATCGAGTTGGGGTGGGGACGGGATGTTGATAAGAGTCAAATCTAGAACACTGTGCTCTTACCCCCTCATTTCACCCGGTGTCTCTGGGCCAGGCGTCTGGGAGCTATTTGTGATGTGTGGAATGTGTGCATGTGCTGGAAAGTATTCATGTATGAGTTCAAATTTATGTGCTCACTTTGCCCCTTGGGGTATTACTGGCCTTCAAGTTTGATGCCTTTGGAAGCTGAGTCCTCTCCCATCCTTTCAATCAAACTCAACCCTTGCTGCAGTAATCTGTCTTTAACAACTCCCACTGCAAGTCAATAAAATGTCAATTTAGTTCTCCTTTTGTTAAATCTGTGTAACGCCTCCCCTTTCCTTTGCTTGTTAAGGACAGCTCATGTTTACCTCCCCCAGTGTCTCCCAGTCTCCTCAGCAGGGGCACCTGCCCTTGAACACAGGAGCAGACATGCTCACTCAGATGGGAGTCGGTAGAGGGGTCATAGAGACAGGGAGACCTGAAAAATGGAACCACCAGATGTCTCTAGTTTTCTTCTATTCTTGGAAACCCCGAGCAAACCAGCCTTCTTTAGGATCACTAAGGTCCTTGATTTTCCCAACCTTGCTTTTCAAGTGGACAGTACTGCAGAGACATTAGGAATGAGAATTTGACTCGAAACCCATCACCACCATTTACTAGCTATATGACCTGAGATAATTAACTTTTCTGGATCTCTGCTTTCTTATCTGTCTAATGGGGTAACAATATCCTCATTGCCTACATAGGCTGATAAAAGGAGTTAATAGATGTAATGCACTCAGCGCAGAGTCTAGCACATTCTCAGTGCTGTATACCTATTTGCCATGATTTATTATTTTCTGGTTTCCTACCCTCTGTCTTCTCTTCAGCAATTCAGCTTCCTCCATTGGAACTACGTTTTCTCCATTGGATACAGCCTGGGGGATAAGTAGTTAGAACCTCTCCCTTTTCCAGGCAATGAAAGGGTGCCTAATGCAAGCAATGCCATAGGAATCACCTCTCCGGAATTTGAGTCTTGAGCATAGGCATAGACACTGAAAACAATGGGCTGCAGCTGCATCTTGACCAGGCTCATCCTAATTGGCCACCACTATGTGGTACCGCTGGATGCAGCCTTTGTTCTTGCCTGTCCCCAATCCCATTTCCCCCTTCCATGCTGGGAGCTCCCTTTAGGAGAATTAACCAGTTTGCTTTGCTTGCAGTCAAAGAATCTTGACCCATATGGAAGGAGTTCAGGGTTCACGTGTCTTTACGAAGCAGGGATTCTATCTTACCATCTCCTGCTTCCTTCCCTTTGCCCTTTTGCTCCACCTGCTTTCTGACCCCGTCTCTAACGTGCCACAAGGAAAAGAGAAGCTGAAGGAGAAGAAGAGGGAATCCCAAGAAGTCTGGGCAAAGGGGAGAAACGTCAAGAGCACGAAACTGTGTTTCTTTCCTTGGGCTTGGTGTGCCAGCCCTCCACCCGGCTCCACCCCACCCTGGTTCCATTTCCCCTTCAGCAGCCTCCCTCCTCTCAGTGAAGAACTCCTTTGTGTTGACAGCCACAAACGCGACAGAAAAAGAAGCGGGTAAAGGACAAGACAGCTCCGGCATCAGCCGCAAACTGCAGGGCTCGGCGTCCAGCAATATCATGCTGAAAGCAAGCTGCTCCCTGCTTCTGCCCTTCATGCTGCCTGAGCTGAGCATCTCACAAAACCTGCATTCCAATCAGCCCAGTCCACCTAGAGGATTCCTCTGGGAGGCAGGATCACTTGCCAAAAGTAACTTGCCCAAGATTTGATTGATGGGAAGCCAAATCGCCGTTTGGCAACATGAAATTGATGAATGGACTTTCTGTGAATTGACTTTTGGTGAATTTTCCCAGAGCCCATGTGCCCAGAACCACATTCAGAGAATCATCACTTAAAAAAGAAATTCAGGGTGTCCCAAGAGTCTATTCTAAAGGCAAGGCCGAAGAGGTAGATAGGGAGGTCACCTAACATTTAGGAATCACCTACTCTGTTCCAGGAGACTTATGGACACGATTTCATTTCACCCTCCACACCCAGCCCATGAGTTAGGAACCATTCACTTTATATGTGGGAAACCTGAAGCTGGAGAAGTAAGTGGCTTTCTCACCGTTTCTGCCTCCAGAGGTCCAGAACTTTCTTTATGTCTTGCAGTCTCCTTCTTAACCACTTCTTTCCCCACCTCAGGCCAGGCCAGGGTGAGTGGTCCAGCCAGAGAACCCACTCTAGAGACCCACAGAGGCATGCAGAAGCCAGCATTTGGACTGTAATCCTGCAACTCACCTATATCCAGTCCAAGCCTCCATCTCTTCCATTTGGCAACCAAACAGTGAAGAAGAAAACTCATGTTCTGGGAGGCTCTGCTGGGTGACACGCATTGTCACACATACTTGTTTACATAATCTCCTCTCTTTGAGGCCAGGGCTCCCAGCAGTGCATCACTCTCCCAGGGTTACATGACGCCCAAGTGGCAGTGACATGTTGCCCCAGCAGTAATATCACTCGCTTTCCTGCCAATTGCATTTGTGCCCCATCTTAAGACTTGTTTAGGTCTGCACCTCCATGTTACAAGTAAATAAATGAAGGCTCAAAGAGGAGCAGTCCATGGTTGGCGTGGTGTCCCAACAAAGCAAGCATTTGAGTCCCCTGATGGAGCATGGGACCTTTGAGGCTTTGGTCTTCTCTGCCCAAGATGTGGTCTTTATCCCTGAAATCCTAAGAACTGTGGGCTTGCCTGTTACCAAATTATCCTCTAGGACCATGGCTCCTCTAAGCCCACTACAGAATCCAACTGAAGCTTTCAATTATGTCAGCCTGTGGAAGGAACTAAGGTGACTGACGGATGGGCTGCTGTCAGAGAAAGCAGAATGGACCAAGCTCAAAGATCTGAGAGGCAGCCGCACCACACTTTCCTGAAATGCAAACCCCACCACCACGCCACCAGCCTCCAGATTTCAGCAGCATTACCACCCATCAAGGGCTGTTTAATTTTCCTTCAATATCCGAAGGCTGTCAGCAGGAAGGGCACTGCCAATTAGTCCATCAGTAAGAATCAGATCTAAGGTTGTAATTGCCCTGGGACCCATATAAAAATATCAACATTCTGTAGGAGGGTGAGAGATCCAAGAGTTTGGAGCTAAAGAGAGATTCTGACTCTAAAAGAAATGGCAGTCACAAGCTGAGAAGAGTAAATACATAATTATTTTAGCTCCTGGAGGTCCTAGTGTTAAGGAAACTGGGTCCTATGAATTCCCTCTCTTCAATACCTCCCAAATTCCTTATCTCCTTCCCTTTTCCACAGCCACCCCTGAGTTCTTGTCTACTCTGGTGATAATGCAGAGCAGGTGAGCCCCAAATGGGGCTTAGACTGGAGGGTTCCTGGCTTTGCCCAGGAAATAATTCACAGCTTTACTGAAGAGGTGTTACAGCTGTGGTGGTGTTACAGTTCCGTGACTGCTCCTGCACAGCAGCGTGACCCCACAGGCGGAAAGCAGCAGCTCAGGGCAGTTTTCCAGTCATATTTATACCTACTTTTAATTACATGTCTATTAAGGGGCAGTTTATGCAGAAATTTCTAGGGAAGGGGTAGTAATATTTGAGTCATTGGGTCGTTGCCATGGAAAGGGGCAATAACTCCAGGTGTTGCCATGGCAATGGTAAACCTACATGGCACACTGGGGTTGTGTCTTATGGAAAGCTGCTCCTGCCTCAGCCCTGCTTTAGCTAATCTTCAATTTGGTCTACTATTTGAGCCCCACCTCCAGAGTCAAGTCCTACTTCCTACCTCAGCAGGAGTATATCATCAGCCTCCTAAAGGCTCTTTCTGCCTTGACTACGGCCCCTTTCAGTTCATCTTTCACATGCCAACAGGGTGATCTGTCTAAAATTAACTCCGCCTAAAATGTCATCCACTTAGGGCACAGGTCTCTAAATTAGCATGCATATACTCAAGAATACACAAGACGCATTGGGATGTGGGAAGAAAAAAGACAATTTATATTTTCGTTCATTTGTCGAAAAACTAATCAAAAAGAAATTGAGTTTTCCTAATACATATATGCATCTTGACATTGGCAACCCCACTCAGCCCAGGAGGTGCCATGAGGGGAAAATGGGGACCCCACAACAAACGGGTTAACAGCAGTGTCCTCATTCAACTTTTTGGGGTCAGGTTTTTCCTCTCAGTGGACCTCAGTGGCACAGAATCAGGTTAATCAGAATTCTTGATGCATAACATGACTTCTCATGGGTCATTTATTCATTTATGAATGTATCTACTTTTCACTATCTGATAAGCACTTGTAAATCTACCATCCAACCTGAAGACTAAGACTTTGGCAAAAACTTTCATTTCACTATGTAGCCATCCTCCTGCCCAGCCTCCTATTTCCCCCACCCAAGGCAGCCACCATCCTGAACCACAAGTCCATTGTTCCCTTACGTCCTTTGAATATACTGTTCACTCATATGTATGTATTCCTTTAAAGAAAATATTTTTATTTTAGTTGTTTTTGCCATTATAAAAAGGGCTTATGCTGCATGTAATATTGAGTCTTTTCTTTCCCCACTTAATACAACTTTGCCAAGATTCATTCATAATGCTACCTTGCATAGTTTCATTCATTTTTACTGCTATGTAATATTCCTTTGTGTGACTTTACCACAATTTATTCATCCAGTCTTCTGTTCATAAGCATTTGGATGGTTTTTATTAATAGATAAAAATAAAAATTTATTTTAAAATTTAAATGGAACTGCAAAGACCCAAAAATAGCCAAGACAATCTTAAAATATATGTATATTCTCCAAAAAGACTCATATACATAATTAATAAAGAACATCAAAATTAAATAAGGATAAGACAAATAATTCAACAGAAAATAAGAAAGACTCAAACTTCATGAAAAAAAAATCTGAGGCCAATAAATACACAAAAAAATGCTCAACCTCATTAATCTTCAAAGGAATATAAAATAATACCATAGCAAGATATGACCTCACACCTAACACAATGGCAAAAATTAGAATGATGAATAATACTAAGTGTTGGTGAGGATGTGGAGAAACTAGAACTCTCAAACTTGCTGGTGAGAGTATAAATTGGTAAGACCACTTTGGAAAACTGGCATTATCTATCAAAGTTGAACGTACACATTGTAGTCCCTCCTTACCCAAGGGTTGGGTTTTCCACAGTTTCACTTTCCACAATTTTAGTTACCCATGGTCAGACAAAGACTGAAAATAGCTGAGTATGGCACAATACTATAAGATATTTTGAGGAAGAAATACCACACTCAGATAACTTTTATTACAGCATAGTGTTATAAATGTTCTTTTTCTTATTAGTTGTTGTTAATCTCTTACTATGACTAATTTATATATTAAACTTTATCATGAGTATGTAGATATAGGAAAAAACATATGCAGGGCTGGCTCTGGATGGTTTCAGCCATCCACTGGGGGTCTTGGAACATACCCTCCACAGATAAGAAGGGACTATTGCTGTATACTCTATATCCAGCAATTTTACTGCTAGATATATAGCCAAAGGAAATGTATACACATACATAACTAAAAGAGACATGTGTAAGAATGTTTATAGAAGTACTATTTATCATAGTTTAGTGCCAGCAATAAATTCAGCCCAAGGACATACTATCTATCTATCTATATATATATACACACACACATATATGTATATATATACTATATGTGTATATATATACATATATATATGTATATATACTATATATACATATTATGTGTATATATACTATACACATATTTGTATATGTGTGTGTATGTATATAGCATCCATAATATATACATACACACACATATATATATAGTATATAGAATATATACTATACACACACACACACACACACACACACACACACACACTCTCTCTTCAGCATACCTACATCAGGATGTAAGAGAGGCTGGACTTCACCCCTCTTCAACAAGGTTTATGGCAAGAGTATTTCTAAGTACAGTGGGCTATAGAGAGACACTCGTGTCCCCTATAGAAAAAAAGTGATTGTGTTTCTAGAACTTCTACTTGGTGACCCAGTGCTAGATACTCACTCATCACCAGAATTTTCTTTAAATGAAAAAAATCTGTATTTTGGATTTTAGATATTGAGCATTGGATTAATCAAAATCCTAGTTACAACTCAATGCCAACATTGTTTCACATATGGCCAACTTTTACACTCACTTATTCAACATTCACTTATTCATGCATTCATTCATTTTTATTCATCATCTGTTTTAGTCCATTTGTGTTGCTAAAAGGAATGTTTGAGGCTGGATAATTTACAAAGAAAAGAGGTTGATCTGCCTTGCAGTTCTGCGGGCTGTACAAGAAGCATGGAGCCAGCATCTGCTTCTGGTGAGGGCCCCAGGCTGCTTCCACTCAGTGGAAGGGAAAGAGGAAGGGGAGCTGGCTTGCCCAGGGATCACATGGCAAGAGGGGAAGCAAGAGAGAGCGAGGGGGGGAGGTGTCAGGCTCTTTTTAACAACCAGCTGTCATGGGAACGAATGGAGCAAGAGCTCACTCACCCCCATTTCCAGGAGGATACTAATCTACTGGCGAGGGATCCACCCCATAACACCAACACCTCCCGTTAGGCCCCACCTCCAACACTGGGATCAAATTTCAACATGAGGTTTGGGGGGACGCACAGCCAAGCTATAGCACCATCCATCTCAAAATCTAGAACAATATGAGCAGCACGTCTGCATGTTCCTCTGCTCTTTGGGCCCTCTGTCTTGGCTCTCACCACCTCTGCCAGAGGGAATCATTATGCTAAACCTTTTCCTTTCTTTCCTTTGCCTTATTTTTCAGTTGTATCACCTATATATGTCTCCCTACCTCGCCTATTTTTTAGTTTTAATTTTAAAGTTTGATGTGAGTCCCCTTCTAGGACTTGCTTTTTCCCACTCACTATATTCTAAGATTCACCCCCATGTTGCTACAGGGCTTGGAACAGAGCCTGGCACAAGGGAGGCACTCTGTGAGTACTGGCTGTCAGTATTCTCTCAACTCTGCAAGACTTACCAGTTTACTCTTCTCCATTTCCTATGCTGTAAAATATTCCATTTGGTAAAGATGTCATTGTATATTTATTTATTCTTCTCTCCATGGACTTTAGGGTTGTTTCCAAACAGTGCTGCTATGCAGTCTTGTTCGAGTCCTAACCCTTCTCCCTTCTCACACTGGTTGTTACAGCTACATTAGGTTTGGGGGCATGGATTTTTGGAAAGGTGGTAAAAATACTCATCATCACTGTGGATGGTGATAGGTGATATTGGTCTGAAATGTTACCTGTTACAAGGCACTTATATCAACATTATCTAATTGGAAAGGCTCCAAGCATAGGCAGGCCTATCACAGCGTTAGGAAACAACAAACGTCCTTTAGATCTTCTTTAATGCATTATTCTGTCCCACTCTGGAACCTTAGACTTGATTGGCATTCCTCTCACTGCAAAGCCTAGTTTAATTGCAATACGCAATTAAAACTGGGTGGGACATTTGAGGAAACTGAGGCCATCAGAAATACCCAAAGTTTTTTTCCTAGTCTCCAGCCAAAAGCCAAAACCTCCATGACCTGTGTGAGGCCAAGGGCTGCCCAAGAGATAGAAGTCCCCCCAGTATCATCCACCACTGGTCCTCCCAGGATGAGGGCCAGTCATCTATGACTCTTGCAGTCTGTCTGCCTCTCTCAGTTCCCATGTTACCCCTGGCGAAGCCAGGCTCCCTTGGTGGCACAATGCCAGCATTCTCTACTCCCCATCCCTATCACTGAATAATGAATACCAGCTAAGTGTTGAGCAGGTGCCAGCGACCTTCCAGCAAATATTCCCCCTGGAGCTTGGATCAATAACACTTAGCTGATCCTTTTCAGCTGGGAAAGGGGGCAGCAGGAAACCCAGCCTGAACCTTTCCCTCAGGGACATGCTGTCTGACAACCCCAAGCCCACCCTCATGGGCTCTTAATTTCCCAGTGCAGGAGTGAAGACTTGTGTCGACATGAGACCAATTACCCTCCTTCCTCAGTCCATGTTCCCCCAACATTCCCTTAGAATGTGACTGTTAAGCTCCATCTTCAAGAAAGGGCTCTTTCCCTGGGAGCTCTGGGTTGGGGAGTCTATAAAAGCCAAGGGGACACTGTGTTCTGGATTCAGGGGTGGCCACCAGCCATCTCATAACCTTGAGCTGCATGGTTCGGGATTAGAGAGGAAAAGAAGGAAAAACAAGGTGTTTTACACATGCACATCAACTCAGTGGCCTTGGCCATGCTCCATATCTAGAATCACATCTTTTTTGTTCCTAGAAGTCTTGCAGAGTTAAGAGAATAATCACAACCAGCATTCACAAAGTGCCTCCTTTGTGCCATGCTCTGTTCCAAGCCCTTGGCTCTAGCTCATTGCATCCCATAGAAACCCATAAGGTATGTGCTATCATCTCCACTTTAGAGATAAGGACATTGAGACATGAAGAGGTGAAGTGACTTGTCCAGAGTTACAAGGCCAGGAAGCATGGAGCCAGGGGCTGATCCCAGGCCACCTAGATCTAGAACACATTGTCTGGACCACTCTACCAAGCCACTTCCATGACACTTTACCCCTGGGCTAGAAAGGGAGCTCTGGCAGCAGATGTTCATGGCTGTGAATCCAGCTGTTATTTATAAATGATGTGATAGGTTTCTCAACCTCTCTACTTTTCTGAGTCTCCCCTTCCTTATGTGAAAAATGGAGATAATACTTAGCTCAAAGTGTTGTCGTAAAAATAAAAATTCAGTAAACTACAGAGCTGGTGTTCAATAGGTATTTATGCCCCACCTGCCATTTTGTGCAACTGCACGGTGCCCCCACAATGGAAACCATCGAGGGGACACAGGTGGAAAAGATGAGTAAAGATACCTGCCGTGCACAAGAAGCTTACATCACACATGGCACAGAACAAGTGCACAAAATAATAACTCACAAGTTAGACTGTGATTGTTAATTCCTAGAAAACATGAGACTATTCATAGCAGAGGAGGGGAAGGTTTCACTCCTTTGTTCTGAGTAGATGTGACTTAAAAGCAGAACCCTGGTATTCCTTCTCCCTTATCTGATTAATCTGCAGAAAGAGGGAATCACAGTCAAGCCAGCATCTGCTACTGGTGATCATAGGGTCAAAGGTCTGTGTCAGGGACCCCAGATGATTTGCAGTTCATTTACTGAGTCCTCACTGGGAGTGTGTCCATGAAGACCTGGATCAGCTGGAGACTATGTGCCTGGTGACTGCCGGCCTTCTCCAAGCAGATGTGGCCTTCTGATTGGCCTGGTGCTATGCTAGGGTCCTAAAATACAGCTCTGAGTCCTGCCTTGGAGTCCTGGGTAGGGCTGCCTCTCCTCCCTTATCATGTATTCCCCAGGCTACAAACCAGAATAGCCAGTCCTCTTTGGCCAGTTTCCCCATCACCCTCCTCCTAAGTGAAAACTCATCTGACCTAAGCTTTAAAGACAAAAGGGGAGAAGAGCTCATCCTGTAATGTTACCTCCTCTTCCTCAGAATCTTTGAAACTGACTGAAAGTTCCTGCGTCCCTGCCCTACTAGAGAGTGGGGGAATTCCTCTAGCCCCAGCTGGCCCCACCTCCCAGTCACCTCATCCATCAACTTGACAGGTGGGCCCTAGAGAGAAGCTATAAGCAGGACAGGGGTAATTAGGATCCATTAAGGAGATGAGGCTGAGCTGCAGGGGGCACCATTCATTCCACAGCGCCTTCTTCTAAATGGGGCTGTCAGCCATGCAAAGCTTGCTCCTGGGGAGGCCGCGGCAACGGGGTAAAGGAGCATCTTGAGAACACCAAGGCCTGGAGATGAGGCAGAGGCCATCGGCCAGCCTTCCTACAGAGAAGGCAGAGGGCAGAGAAGGGGAAAACAGCAGCCACCCCCAACCTTCACCAGCAGAGTCTCATGTAGGGGCTTGTTTGTGAGCCAAGTCCTCAGCTTATGACTCTATACTCTGCAGTGCAGGTTGCTTTCCACGGCCTCCCCACACAGCCCAGCCCTGGGCAAGACTACATCTCAAACAAACAAACAAACAAAAAAGCATTGCACCTAAGATGGGAGCACTCCTCTTGCTTTCGGGAACACCAGGCCCTGGCCTATGGCGTGACCATCCCTTTGTTTCTTTACCTTTCTAATAAACTTGCTTTCACTTTATTCTGCAGACTTGCCCCAAAATCTTTCTCGCATGAGATCCAAGAATCATCTCTTGGGGCCTGGATTGGGACCGCGTTCCAGGAACATTTGGAGTATAGCTTACTCTACTTAATGTAGGCACAAATGTGATCTGAAATTCATTGGTTGGGTCTTTAGTAGGATTTTCTATTTCTTTCTTTCTTTTTTGAAAGGGCTGGGGATACCCAGTTCCATTATGTCTGACCAGGTCGTTTCTGAAAGGAACTAAAAGACATCGTGATTCGCAGCCCCACAGACAGCAGCCCAGGACCCTTGAGGAAGGCACCTATCCACTTCACTTTTCCATGGCCCCTGCAGAGCAGAGCCCAGTGAAGCTCCAGTCGTCGGCGCCTTCCCTCTGGCCGTCCGACTGCAGAGTCTGCACTCCCTTTGCCTTCATTGCTATTGTTTTCAGTCAAGGCAGCAGTGAAACCCATGTTAAGACCAGAAGGCCCATGTTAAGAGAGGCCAATTACTAATGTGTTGAGGGAAAAAAAAAAAAACATAAATAATTGTACTGAGGCTTGATGTTAAATATAAGGAAGACTAATAATTCAGACAGGCAGAAACTCCTGAATCTACCACAAAACTCCCCAAGGCAGAATGGCAGCGAATGGCCACACATTTGCATAATAGCTTTCTTGTTGTTCTCTTTGTTCTTTTTGTTGCTTCAACTAATTTCTTTTAAGCACCCTGTTATTTCCCTCATTCCTCGGAAAGGAGCCAGCCACACTGATCCATAAAATGGTAACTTTCACTGGCACAATACCGTTGTTAAACATTTGTAAATGGAGGGATCTGAAAAGAGACAACGTTCTAGATCAAAATAGCCCCAGGAGCCTCTCCTTCTTGTATTCAATTGGTTGTGGATGCTTTTCTCCAGGGCTGGATTCACAGGTGGGCCACCTGCAGCCCTACGCAGCTGTCCCATGCTTGCCGGCACCCTGTGGTTAGAAAGGCCACACTAAATGTCCATCAACAATACACTGGATAAAGAAAATGTGCCACATATACACCATGGAATACTATGCAGCCATAAAAAACAATGGGTTCGTGTCCTTCATGGGTACGTGGATGAATCTGTAAGCCATCATTCTCAGCAAACTGATATAAGAACAGAAAATCAAACACCACATGGTATCGCTCATAGGCAGGTGTTGAACAATTAGAACATATGGCCACAGGGAGGGGAGCATCACATACTGCGGTCAGTTGGGGGGACTAGGGGAGGGACAGCAGGGGGTGGGGAGGGATAACGTGGGGAGAAATACCAGATATAGGAGACTGGGTGAGGAAGGTAGCAAATCACCTTGCCATGTATGTACCTATGCAACAATCCTGCATGATCTGCACATGTACCCCGGAACCTAAAGTACAATAAAAAGATGCTTATTAGGAAAAAAAAAAAAAAAAAAAGAAAGTCCACACATGATGTCTGGACACCACATGATGTCTACTTTGCCATTGGAGTTAGGCACTATCCCAGCCAGACCTGACTCAGAGTGAGAAGCACACATAATTTGCAAGGCCAATGCTAAATGAAAATGTGGGGCCCCTTGTTAAAAAGTACTGAACAATTCTAGATGGTGACAGCCAAGCATTAAACCAAGCAAGGAGTGCAAATTATGTATGCTGCTCATGCTGAGTCAGGTCTGGCTGGGATACTGCCTGACTCCAATGGCAAAGTAGACATCACGTGGTGAAGTCTCCCAGGAGTCCAGCAATCATCACACGTCTGCCTCCTCTAGTACTCATTTATATAAGCCACCTGGCACCCTTGATGGCCATGAATCATGGAAAAGGGGACAAATTCATTTCCCCAGGATACAATCTCACACCAAACTTCCTGAGCTCCTCCTTCCTACCAAGAAGGAATAGCTACTCCTTCTTCCTACCAACCCACGCCTGGCTCACTTGATCGTCAGAGTCTAGCTTGAAGTAGACTTCTACCAGAAGTCCTCCCCTGACCGCTGCCCTCGGCCACTCCACCCAGCTGCCTCTATTCTATGCTGTACCCACCGGGGACTCAAGTGTTTCCAGGACACTCTGTGTTCTTCAGTTACTATAATGAATGTAGGTGTCTTAGCTTGATAGGAGGTTCTAACAGACCTGAAGTCTGTTTGCTCCGTTCCTTTAGGACTGTGCCTGATGCAGCAAGCACAGTTTGTTGCCCACACAAATCTATTGGCCTGTTCCTGACCAGTGGAAACCAATTTTGTTTCCATATTAACACTTTTCTCTGAGGCCTTCTGCTGAGAAAGGGTGACTTTAGCCACTTCCCAGGAGGGTAAGGCGTGGATATTGATTGGTCTAGGGTGATCCCATTCTCTTTCCTACCATTGGTTTAAGAAGGGTCATGAGACCTCGTCTTGATCAGTGATACATGAGAGAAATGATGAGATCATGTCTACAGAAAAGATTTCTAATCGATAGAAAGAGACTCAGGGGAGGAAAGGGTTCCTTCTCTTCAGTTGGGTAAGTGTCATGTCCACATGGGACACCTAGAACTATGGCAGCCACCTTGTGACCAGGAGGGACAATATCAACAGGGTGAAGCTGACAGTGAACAATGATGAAAATAATCTGTGTTCTTGATGAGGTGATTAGATAGACACTAACCAACCTGGACCCACCCCACCTACTTCCAGGAGTCTGGCCACATAACTTTAATATTTTTATCACTTAATACACATTTATTTAGGTTTTCTGTTCTTTGTAGCTGAAAGCTTTCTAAATTATACAGTTTTGCCTGCAATAGGTGTGCTTTGTGGATTTTGTCTAATTAAATGTTGGGAACAGGGTGTGCAGGGTCTGCCCTTGGAACAGGCTAACCAGACTGCCTGTAAGAAATGTGAGTGGTCTAAAAGAAAAAGAATATACGCATCTCAATGTTTCTGAGGTCCAGTTTTGATTCTATATCTGACTGTGACTTTGATAGTTGGGAATGTGGAAAATTAAAACATTAAGGAGTAAAGTCTTGACTTTGGTTGCATGCATCACAAACGAAATAAACTCAATCTAGAATACGGACTTGGTGTAGAAGTAAAATTCTAAGTAGATCTCCGTCTGCTTCCTCTGGCTGGGGGCACTTGCTTCTTTCTGCAAGTGATCAAATCTAAACAAAATGTTGTTTCTTAGGTCTAAAAATCTGCTGTTACCCAAGTCACTGAGCTCTGTAATTAAGACCTGATCTTTCCCCTGGGGAGTGCATGAGTGATGGACGTAGCTGCTGTACATACCTTTTCCTCACCCAGTACCCAGTCCTCAAATTTAGCCAGCTTGGGCTGCTCTCTACACAATGAAATTTTAGGAATATCATTGTAGCCTAAAATTATATTATCTAGGGCCAATAAAATCTGGAATTCCATCATTAGACATTCATTCTTTTAACTATATGTCTATAAAAGTCACTAAAATTCAACTATCCTGATTTAGGAGTAGCCTCTTCTCTTGAGCACAAAATAGGGTATAGAAAATGAGGCAGGGGACAAATTCCTGGGATGAGCTTATTGTTAGAGCTGAGCAGATTTATAAAGAAGAACCTTGATGCACTGATGACAAACTTTTCTTATGTCTCAATTTTACTTGGAAATAATGACAATCTTTGGGGAAGGAGCAGCACATGCATTTGCCCACTGTAACATGGATCCGTTCACGCCTGTGAAGACAGAAGGATAAGAAGATCAGAAATAAGCAAGTGGCCTCAGCCAGAGGAAGTAAATGGAGGTCTGAAGTCCTGGAGAGAATTCTCTGACAGGGCTTGAAGAACTGACAGGCTTTAAAGGGCACAGTGGCTCACACCTGTAATCCCAGCACTTTGGGAGGCTGAGACGGGTGGATCGCTTGAACCCAGGAGTTCAAGACCAGGCTGGGCAACATGGCAAAACCTCATCTCTACTTTTAAAAATACAAAAAATTAGCCAGGTGTGGTGGTGAACACCTATGGTCCCAGCTACCCAGAAGGCTGAGGTGGGAGGTTAGCTTGAGCCCAGTAGGTTGACGCTGCGGTGAGCCACTACACTCCAGCCTGGGCTACAGGAGGGAGACCCTTTAAAAAAAAAAGCCTATGTGAAAGACTGTTATTCCAATGGCCAAGGCTTCTGTACTGTTTATGGTAAAACAGGTTGTTACTGCATATATTGAAAGCCACCAGTTGCAGCCTGAAAACTTCTGGAGTGGTCATTGGAGTCAAGAGCAGAAGTCTACCATCAGATAACCTACAGCCCAGGGAGTCAGAGTGCTTAAAGTTCAGGTTCAGTATTAGGAAGACAGCAAAGCTCCATTGGTCAGTCAGAAAGTTGTACAGGATTCACTGTTTCAAATGAAGTCCAAACCGTAAAGGAGTTTATTAAAATCAGAGAATGCAGGAAAGGAGTATCAGACAGCAATTAGTAAAAACTATCAAACAATGTCAGATGCCACATTCCAGGCCTTGCACCAGCAGCAACCAGTTACCTGCACCAAAATTGATGGGAACAAGATACTCGGCTACAAGACTGGCAAAGAAATGCAGAGAACTTAAAGGCTGAATGTGGGATTCTTCCATACATGGAAAGACAAAGATTCGACATGTGGATGTATGATAAATAAGTGATTTACAAACAAGAGTGATATTTTGCTAGGGCTTTCAAAGTTCATGGATTTTCTAGTCCCGTGGAATACTGCTGAACCCCTAGCATTCTCTGCATTCTTTTAAGTCCTCTGTCTTGTAATTTTCTGCTAACTATATCCATGTGTGAATCTTTTTTTGGTGTTGTTAATTCGACTACATTTAATGCTGAAAAGAGACATCTAATCTAGAGTCACTTAGTGTTTAGAAAATTTTCCTAGCCATGAAGCCCTGTTACTGATTTAGATAAGGTGTGATGTTCATTACTTTTCTACCGCCATTCTTCCAAGAAATTCTGGTACTTCAGTGGTTTTTACAGCTCCATCAATGGCTAAAGAGGCATTGCCACGAGCTATAGCTAAATGGAAGACACACTCATCCCTCCCCTTCTGCTTTCATCTTCATTTATAGCATCTCATAACTGTTGTTTGCCAAAATTTGGATTGGGACCTTTCAGGTCCTTTTTGGAGGGCAAAGGAAATTTTC